TACGACCGGTGTTGTAGATCCCAATGATCATTGAGAAGCCAAACCATCCTAGCAATTTGCAAGAAAGCTTTCTTGTCAACACGATTATCTTTTGAATACAAAAAAACTAAAGTAGGCCTACTAGATGCAACCATACCAATCTATGTATCCAACCATATCAAATCAAACATAACTAATAAAAAAGGGTTCCACAATTAACTAGGCCTACTTCATACAAATAACTTTTCCATAAACTATGCCTACTTCATAAAAATAACTCTTCCATAAACTAAACTAGGGTTCCACAAATCAAACAAACAAGGGTTCCCCAAATCAATCAAACAAATCAATACATGCAAAGTTCTAATGCATGCAAGATTCAAATCTAATCTAATCAAACAAGGATTCCCCAAATCTCCAAAATATCATATTTTCTATGGATAGAAAGAAGGGGATCGGAAGAGAGTACCTTCTAGGATGGATTGGTGAAGAAATGCACGGACCAAATCGTCGGATCTGAAGGATTTGGGAGAGGGGATTGAGAGGGGGAGAGGAGGAACCCGCCGTGCCGCTGCTTCTGTTACTTCAAAACCGACCAATGGGTGGGGTGCGGGAGGGGGAGCGGGCGCCTGGCGTCTAAGTCACAGTGCAGCGCCTACGGTCTGGGCGCTGCACTTTACAAGTGTGGCGCCTAGCTCGGAGGCATTGCACTGCTGGTTGCGGGCCCAGGGGCTGCCACGGTGGACTGGTGTGCAACGCCCCCGGGCTAGGCGCTGCACCGTAGAGTGTGGCGCCGTCGTGGCGGGCGCTACACAAAAAGGTTAGAGCTGTGAAATAGTTTCACGGCCAGTTCATTCCGTGAATTGATTTCGTCCATAGGTCAAAATTGTCAAAATTGCCACGACACTCTCGCGTGAGGGCTCCTCTGCCTTGGACCACTGGTCTGCTCACCTTCGAGTACTTTCCTGGTCTGGCACAACTGCCGATCGGCGTCGGTTTTGACGTCTCATCCGGCTCGACCGAGACCGGCTTGCCTCCAACTGCTCTCCGCGAATGCCTCGCTTCCGCTGGCTCTCCGCGGGATTATCCCACGCTTCGGTCCCCTTGCCGGCGGGCTCCTCCGACATGACCGTCGGTCCCCTCGCCTTTGATGGCTCTCCCACTCCGGTGTGACCGCCGGTCCCCTCGCCTTCAAACTCCAAGAAAAGGTGGCCAGGGTTTCTGCCTCCCGTGGGCGGCGCCGCCGATCTCCCACGTCTCCTGTGGTCTCCATGGGTGCGTGGTGGATCCCGGTCCTTGCCGGCGGGAGGGCTCTGCTTTCAGGTGCTTCTTCAAGTTTTGTTAGGGTTTGTGTCCTGCTCAAGAAGACGAGACAACGACGGCTTCTTGAAAATGGAATAAGGTTCTTCCCGCCTAGCCCTCGTCCCAATGGTGTGTCTAGCATCGTTGGAGGGCATGTGAAGATGTGTCACCGGCGGATATCTCCAGATTTGGTCGGTGGTTGTCTTTGGTGGATCCGCTCGGATCCGGTCTTTGTTCGTCTTTGTTCATGTGTCTTCAGGTTGGATTCTTCCGATCTAAAATTCTCTTCATCGGCGGCGGTTGCTGTTCTGGGGCGTTGGTCCTATGGGACCATGACGATTTCCCGACTGTCTACTACAACAAGTTGTGCCCGGCTCCGGCTAGGGAGGGGCGATGACGGTGGCGCTCCTTCGGCTCGCTTCAGTGCTTGTAGTCGTCACTAGGTGGTCTATAAATATGGATGTAATTTTTATTATTTCTGGTGTTTGTTATACTGCTATGATTGAAGATGAATAGATCGACAGTTTTCCGCAAAAAAAAATCAAAATCAAAAACAAAATAATGAAATTTTCTATGGAAGATTCAAACCCTTTAAGAAGAAAGAAAGTAAAAAACAAAAACAAAAACAAAATAATGAAAATTTCTAGGGAAGAATGAAACCCTTTAAGAAGAAAGAAAATAAAAAAACTAAAACAAATAAAAATAATGAAGTTTTCTATGGAAGAATGAAACCCTTTAAGAAAACAAAATATAAAAACTAAAACTAAAACAAAATAGTGGAGTTTTCTACGTAAGAATAAAACCCTTTAAGAAGAAAGAAAATATAAAAACAAAGAGCAAAACAAGCTAATGAAGTTTTGGGAAAATGAAACCTTTTAAGAATAAATAAAATTAAAAAAAACTTCCACACAAGTATGCTCTGAAATTGCACTTTTCTAATATGCCAAAAATAAGCATATACAATGCAATTTTTGCTTATATTATAATTTACACACATGGTGTATCATACTTGCTTGTTTACTACTTACAAACACAAAAATAAAAATATTTTTCTAAGAAGAAATGAAGTATAGTGGCATTGGTACCACCCTTTAAGAAGAAAGGATTTCAAAACAATAATAATGATACAATTTGCACACAATTTACATATAAATTGCACTTTTTTAGTTCTGTAAGAATAAACATACTATAGTGAATTTTATAAAAAAAAATTAAACAAGGAACGGATAAGTGGCATTGATATCATCCTTAAAACGGGAAATGAATTAAAAGCTAAACATAATAAAAAAAGTTTTCTAAGAGAAAATAAATTAGCAACATTGGTATTACTCTTAAGAAGAAATAAAATAAAGAAAAACCTTGCACAGAACTTTGCACTGGAATTGCACTTTTTATAATATGCAACGAATACACATATAATAATGCAACTTTAGCAGTCTAGTATAATTTACACAGATACTGTATTGTACTTCCATGCATATATACAAATAATAATAGAATGTATTAAATTAGCAAAACAATTAGCATTGGTATTACCCTTAAATAATAAAGAAAAAACAAAAATTTCCACACAATTAGCAAAAAATGCACTTTTTATAATATGTAGAAGTAATATATAAAAGTAAAGTTTGAGTACTCGGATGTAACTTGTACATGTAGTACTTGCATGTATACATTTTCACGCACTGAATATCCGAAAATACACGTAAAGAAATAAAGCTCAACTGAAATTTAAAAATAAAAGCATACACATGCAGAAAACAAAAGTAAACACATGAAAAAAGAGCATACACACCCAAAATCCAGCCCAAGAAGGAAATCGACTGTCCCAAAATAGGTGCCAATTGAATCCAAACAACCCAGTACCACCAGCGAAATGTGACAGAAAAAATAAAAGCTACACAAATCTTATAGCACAATCCAAGGGTCAGAAAATCGATTGACCACAAAACAAAAATTCAGATGACTGAAATCTAGGTAAAATGGGTTTGCAGCCTCCTTGACTCTGAAGTTATCGTTGCAGTTTTCTTTTTGTTGCAACCTTCACGCCAATGGCTGCACCATCGATGTTAACATGGTGTCTTTTGTTTGGTCATGTGATTGCTTGAATTATTTTCTGTATGCTCAGTCCTTATTTACGATTTTTATTTTGAAGACCAGTTCAACCAGGAGACAATGGATTTTAATCACTGAAGTGAAGTTACCAACATGGCATACAAGGTGGCACAAGATCTGTGAAAATGGTATGCTTGACATAGTAAAGAAGGTACAACACATTCCACATTATTTTTCATCACGGTAGATAGTTCTATTGTTCACATGTTTGTTTAGGCCTCCAGGGCAGTGGATAACACCATCAAGAAGTCTGAAGACATTTTTGGATGAGGGAGTGGGTATCGTTGATCATTATTATCCCTTATTCATTTTGAGATATTAATCGAGTCTGCTAATGCTGTTGATATTGTAGATATGTTTCAAATTCTTTCGGCATGATGTTAGCAATTTAGAATCCTAGGTTAGTTTGGTGGCATTGGTTTCCGCCTTCATCATGTGTTAATCTAGGCCATGAATGCCAGTTTGTAGCAGTCTCCGCATAAAATCTCAAATCGGAATTATGACGAGCAGCTTCTATTTAGGTACAATAGGTGATGGACATGATAACATGCAGCTATCCCACGTCAAACATGCACTTATGCATGTAAAAAGGACGACAACAACATGCTATCATCAATGGAAAAAGACACACAAGAACATGCAACCATTACACAACTTATATTTCATAAATATTTTACATTATACGTACACAATGTTGGGGATATCGCTTATCGGGAACTTATCGGTCGACCCATGATAAGGGGTAAATCGACAAGTTTATCGGCATATCGGCGGATTTATCGCCATATCGGTTGATTTATCGGCCGATTTATCTTATCGGCCAGACGACGGTAAGCGACAAATCGGCCGATTTATCGGAATATCGGAAGATATCTTGAACAGTGTACGTACATCAATCAAATATTCATTTTTTCTACTTCATCGAAATATTTATCAAACTATTCCCACAACAACGTGCGGAATATTATCTAGTTTTCATAATCGATTGTGACTCAAACAATTCTCAGCACATGGCCACCTTAGAATGAATTGAACACGGGTACGAGGATGATCTTCGGCCGGTGGATTATGACCTGCGGCATTACTGGCACCAAGAATACTGGAGCCGCCTGGCACACCGGATTACTCAGCTCTGCCGGCCGGAACGCCGCGGCGTGGGGTTGTGTATGTTGGGTAGCTCTGGCTGCTGATGTCGACGTAGTGGTGATCAAAGAAGCCGTGTCATTTGCCGAGCCTGCCGTCAACAAAGGCGACGACGCTATCCGGCGTGCGAGAGCAGGGGCGAGCGGCGGCTTGGAGGGCGCCGTGCCAGCCGTCGACGTCTCGCACAACGGATTCGGCGAAGTCATGATCCGCGGCAAGAGAGAGGGAGCGGGAGCGGCCAGGCCCTGGGAGGGCCGCCCGTCGACGTCGGCTGGCTTCGCCGGCAATAGAGCCGGCGACGTCGCGCTACGCCGCATGGGAGCTGGTTTTCCGAGGGCCTGGGAGGTCGGCGACGGGGCGGCGGTGGCGTCGCGGAACAGGTAGACCCGGAACCGGCGCGTGTTCTTGTCGTTGAACAGCCGGACCTGCAGATCCCGGTAGAGCAGCATGTCCAGCATGTCCCGCAGGTCCTCGTCCGTGTCCACGTCGCAGAGCGAGTCCAGCCCCTCGCCGGAGTAGCAGTACTTGACAGAGAAGTCGGAGAAGCCCGCGCGCGCCGCCAGCAGGTCGCGGAAGCCCCTCGTCGAGACGGACGAGACGACGTTGAGGAGCAGGTGCTCACCGTCGACGTACCTCGGCGGCCGACCCTGGGCGCGCTCGATCCTCCCGCCGTAGCTAACCATGAGCTTCACGCGGCGCTGCTGGTCGATTGCCATGCTCTGTGCCGTTCTTCTAGCGAACGGGATTCCAATGATCCGGTGGTGGAGCTAGACTGGAGGGGGGCGTCAAACTTATATTGGTTCACCTTTTGCCCCTTCGAGCGAGAGACGGACCCGGACTCATGACCGAACGAGGGTGGCAATAGGATAGTTTTCCTCAACTAGGACAGAACAGAACGAGGAAGGCCCGCCCGATGCGAAAGCGGTGGCGACTTCCGGCGATGACTTCAGGTCCGATGATTGGCGTGATGCCGTCCTCTCCCTCTCCCTTCTTCCGGCGATCTCCTCCCCCTGTCCCTTGTTTTCTTCTTCCCTTTCTCTCATACTGCTTCTGCTTGTTGGATCGTGCTCCCACATCGCACTTGGCGGCGCGACACCGACCCCGTTCTTCCTCTCTTCTCCGCCCTCCTCCCCTGTTTCTTTTGGTTCTTCTAGTCTCTGCTCTGATCTACGTACCTCCCTGGCTCATCTTCCTGGCCATCTGCTGCTGTTCATCCTCTTCCGCTGCTGTTCCATCTCCGTCAACCATCTCCATCCCTAATCCAAATCTGCTCAATTCAAATCCATGATCCGCTGAAGCCTTTCATTGATACTCCTGCGCCGCGGTGGGGAGGGGTTTCAGGTTTGGGGGCTCCTAGTTTCGGCCTGCCGCTTCGGTTTGCCTCGTTAACTTGGCGATGATGGAGACGGCGTGGTGGGCTGAATGAGCCCGGTGTCGGTGCACCGGAACCAGCGCCATCCAGTGACTTGTGGCCCCGCGCGCACCACCGCTCAGTTGCTCGGGCAAAGGCCTGGTCCACACAGACTGCTTGTTCTCGGGAGAAGGTTGGCGAGTAGCCGGTAGCGGGTGAGAAGGTGAGACGGGTGCTGAGGTTTCTTGCGAGGGTAGATGAGGTGAGCGGGTGACACATGTAGAACAAGGACGAGCGAAAAGCTGCAGTGAGGACTGCACCTTCCACGTAAATGGCGCTGAGAAACCATGGGCGCTGCGTTATCGGGTGGCTCAAGCAAATCACATCTTTTTAGGCCTCCTTCGCTCGTAGGTTAGAAAAATCACAGAAATAAGAAAAAAATAGGAAATAAGATGATATTATGCATCTTAAATACTATGAGTACGAATATGGAAAAAGATGTCATTTGATTTATATCCTCCATCAGTGAGTTGTTCTCTTTGGTATTTTTCATTTCACTTAATGATGCAAAACATTAAGACGTGGGAGTCGTCGCCAATATCGACACCTCCAATATCGACAAGCTTTCCTAATCAAATCAATATATACTTCCGTCCTCGCCTAGGCCCTGCAATGGCCTCCACTGGCAGGGTGCCCTCGGAGCCATCGCCGGCCACGCGGGAGGTCGAGGTGGCTCAGTCAAGTAGGCGGACGAGGCCCGGCTCGCCGCCGGTAGGTCAGCTGTGGAGCACTGCATCATCCCCCGCTCACAGGAGGTGGTTGCCGCAGAGGATGCTCTGCTTTGGAGCCTGGTCGCAGTCACCATGGGTGGGCGGCCAAGGATCGCATCAAGTCTGCTCACCGCGGCAGTTGAGACGTCGGTCCCTGAGGTGGTGGGTGCCTTCACTGTGCATCGGTTCTGGCAGGCAGACTTTCTGCTTGTCTTCGACTCCAGGGCGGCACGAGATGTGGTCATGAGCGCTGGCGAGGTTCACGGCCGTGACTTTTCCCTGAGGTTCTCCCCCCTGGAATAGGGAGCTCCAAGCTACCCGGAGGCCGTTCAATTATCGAGTCCGTGTGGAAATGGAAGGAATCCCTCCGCATGTCTAGAACCGTGCTACGGCATAGATCATCCTCGGCTCAGCGGCATGGGTGGAGAGGCTGGGCACGATGACTGCGAACATGGCGGATCTTTGGAGCTTCGAGGCGTGCGCTTGGACTGATGATCCGTCGCTTCTACCCAAGGAGAAGATCATCCTGGTGGTGGAGCCTGAGGAGGCTATGGAGGTTGAGCTTGTGGAGGGCTTGGTATTGCCGGCAAACGCACCGGTGCCGCTGGAGAAGAGCATGCTGGAATACCGTGTCACTGTACATTTGGTGTCCACCGAGAACATGGCGGCGAGTGCCCTGGACTCCAGTGGCTCGTGGTGAGTGCGCCGTTTAGAACAACGACGAGGACGGCGAGGGTGGCGAGATGCTGGTGCTGCCCATCACCAGATTGCATGTGGCAGGCGCCCAAAGGGAGGACCCCACCACTACGCTTGGCCAGCAGATGACTGACATACAAAGGAGGATAGAGTTGGCTGTGGTGTCCACACCACTTTTGACCAGAGGAGGGGTGAGCGGCGCGGTTCCGAGGCTTCCAGAGGGGGGCTCGGCCACCGGCTACTCGACACCTGCCCTATACAGTGTAGGATGTGGATCGCGCATGCCAGGTGATAGGGTGACATATGCTAGCGGCGCAGGGGATCATCTTTTGCTCTCCCCAGCTTCGACTGAGATGATTCGAAATTTGAATCAATCATGTGGCTCGTCCCAAGGCTGGAGTAGCACGTGATCGTAAATGAGTGTGGCCAGCACGGGACTTTGACTGCAGGGTGACCTGGACACATTTCTGGTGAGCTTGTCTTGCTCACGGGCCACATCTGCATGCAGTAGGGAGACCGCCTTAGTGGGTACCTCCCTGGCTGCCTCCATTGCCCAGTTCCCGTCGATGTGTCAAAAGAAGATATCGCCACTTCTCCCAAGACCGATTGTGGCAAGAAACAAGAGTAGGCGCATAACGCCCCCAACTACTGTACGACGCAGTACTAGGCTCGGCGGCCGCTTGGCGAATGGCTCGTCAGTCAAGACGTAGCTGCGCACGCTTATGGTTCAACTGGGCATCGCCAGGGAAGGTGAGGTGATAGGAGATGAAGCGATGCGGGCTTACCTAGACCTTTTCTCAAGACCTCTCCAGCAAAGCCACATTGCAGCCATTGTGGGGCTGTTTGGGTGGCAAGCTGAGGTGCTGCCTCTAGGGCGTGGGTTGGATGCTGCAGCACTTTAGTGTTGCGGCCGCGATTGCTTGGTTGTAGGTCTTTGCTAATGGCTGACCCAAATCAAGCAGTGGTGGTATGGAATGTTTGTGGCGTCAATAGCCCGACAAAGCGTAATGCAATAAAATCTGTGATTACGAGCTCGAGTGCTAGTGTGGTATGCTTGCAAGAAACCAAAGTGTAGGACATGACCTTGATGCTAGTGCAGCAGTGTCTTGGGGTGGAGTTCGACGTGTTTTACTACGTCTCTGCGATTGGTACGAGTGGGGGCGTGCTGCTGGCATGCAAATCCTCTAGTGTCATGATGTCTAACCCGCATATCTCCACATATGCTGTCACAGCATGGCTGCAAATAAGTGATTCCACTGGATCGTGGTTCACTAGGGTTTATGGGCCCCAAAGCGACAGTGAGAAGGTGGCCCTTCTGCATCAAATAAGAGATATTTGGGATTTACATGTAGATCCTTGGGTGCTAGCCGGGGACTTCAATCTAATTGCTGACCCGGCAGATAAGAGCAACAATAGAATAAATCGTCGAATGATGGGCCGGTTTCGGCGGTGCATCTACGACTTGGACCTAAAGGAGCTCTACCTTAATGGTCGTCGTTACACTTGGTCCAATAAGCGGAAGGAGGCCACCCTCGAGATGCTGGACAGGCTCTTGGTCTTGGTGGATTGGGAGCCATTGTGGTCCGCAATATTTTCTAATAGCCTTGAGTACGAGCACGTCTGATCACTGTCCTTTGCATCTTATTCTCAAGCCTGACCCGCGGCGCGACAAACGGTTCCACTTTCAAAAATTCTGGACGAAGATTGATGGCTTTCAAGAGGTGGTGCGGCAAGCTTGGGATAGCCAACCAAGCATGGTGAATCCATTCAAAAGGCTAGCAATGAAACTTAAGGCCACCGCGAATAAGCCGATGAGTTGGAGCGACAAGTATGCGGGAAGCATCAAGCAACAAATGCACATTGCTAACGAGGTCATATTGCGGCTTGATGTCACAATGGAGGTGCGATCCCTGACCCCAGCCGAGATGGACTTAAGGCAGCTGATGAAACGCAAACTTCTGGGGATGGCATCGCTGGAGCGCACAATTGCGAGGTAGCGCTCCCGTTTGAATTGGCTGAAGGATGGTGATGCGTGCACGGAGTTCTTTCATGCACATGCAAGCTACAGGACATGGAAAAACAATTTTTCAAAGCTAAATGTGGATGATGTGATGACATCAGATCATGAGGTTATGGCAGAGGCTGTGGACTCCTTCTTCGCAAACTTGCTTGGGGCAGCACCGGACCGGGCATACTCACTAGACCTTAGTGAGGTGGGAATGGCATCACATGACATGACACATCTAGAGGGAGAGTTCACAGAGGCAGAAATCTGGGACGTAGTTCACGCGCAAGATCTTGACAAAGCGCCGGGTCCAGATGGGTTCTCGGCGCGTTTTTACATCGTATGCTGGCCAATCATCAAAGATGACGTCTTGTGGGCTTTCCAGTCCTTTCGAAACTTGATTTTCATGGGATGACTTCTATCAATCAGGCATTCATCACTCTGTTGCCAAAATCAGCTGCTGCACTTGAAGTGCAAGACTATAGACCTATCAGCTTGATAAATAGATTCCCCAAGCTTGCTGCCAAGGTGCTCATGGCACGGGTCACTAGCGAGATGCCGTGATTGGTTGGCGCTCACCAGAGTGCATGCGTTCATAAGAGGAAGATGCCTACATGACAACTACATGATGGTGTAGTGTATAGCAAAAAGGTTGCATGCCTCCTTGACACCTTCTGTCATGCTCAAACTAGACATTACCAAATCATTTGATACCGTGGATTGGGCGTTCCTAATGGAAGTAATGCAACAATTTGGATTTGGCCCAAAATGGATCGCATGGGTGGATGACCTCCTTGCCTCCTCCTCAACCAGAGTTCTACTCAACGGAATCCCTGGGAAAATTATTTACAATCGGCAAGGTCTGCGGCAGGGAGATCCTATGTCTCCCCTGCT